ATTCAATACTAAAAGTGTAAGGAAATTTTGTAAAGGAGACAGACGGCCAAGAAGTATCTACAGCACAAGAGGAAGACAACTACAAGAATCGGAGACATTTGGGAGTGGAGAGAGTTTAGTGTTAAACATAAAAGTAATTTAACATAAATGTTTAAGTTTAGGTCGAAACGCTTTGTGGATTAGCGGCTTGATTTATTATTCCTCTGTTCTTGTGTCTTTATATTTTATGAATATATAATCATTATTATATTATTATAATATTATTATATTAGTAGTATTATTACTGAAAAACTCGTATGAGGGAATGTGGTGGTTTTAACCAACATTATAGTGATTCTCAGACATTATTATTAATATTATTATTATTATTATTATTATTATAAGACCAGCGACACACAAACAGGGTAAAATCAGCAGCATGTGAGACGCTGGCAAACATTAGAACATGGTTCACAAACCGCGGTCAGGACTCTTTCAAGGTGACCTACACAACCTTCGTCAGACCAACACTGGAATATGCAGCACCGGCACAGACTCTGCTCTTTGTGAAGCATAACAATATAAAGAGACACAGATGCTTGCAACAAGTTTAGTGCCAGAATTAAAAGGTTTAAGCTATAAGGACAGCTTAATGGAACAAGATCTGACAGCCGTAGAGGAGAGTATAAACAGAGAGGGGACATGATCACAACATACTGAGTAGAATAGACGAGGCTAAACTTCTTGAATAGACAAGGACATCATCTTGAAATTAAAAGAGAGTAAGACGAGAGGACATAAACGGAATCTGGAAATACAAATGACACACAGAAATGCAGGCGATGAGTCACAATAACGTGGCTGAAGTATGTTGACCAGACCACACACTAGAAGATGAAGGGACGACGACGTTTCGGTCCGTCCTGGACCATTCACAATCGACTTGATAATGGTCCAGGACGGACCTAAACGTCGTCGTCCCTTCACCTTCTAGTGTGTGGTCTGGTCATCATCAAAAGACACACAAACTCGGTGAGACAGTAGAGGAAGAGAATATTGCGCGTTGAAGCTCAAAGATGAATTGTAGGAGAGCTTTCAAGAAGACAGTCAACCAGATTTTACCAAGTGCTCGCTCTAGCTTGCTCTAGCTCGCTCTTGCTTGCTGTAGCTTGCTCTAGCTCGCTCTAGCTTGCTCTAGCTTGCTCTAGCTCGCTCTAGCTTGCTCTAGCTCGCTCTAGCTTGCTCTAGCTCGCTCTTGCTTGCTCTAGCTTGCTCTAGCTCGCTCTTGCTTGCTCTAGCTTGCTCTAGCTCGCTCTAGCTTGCTCTAGCTTGCTCTAGCTCGCTCTAGCTCGCTCTAGCTCGCTCTAGCTCGCTCTTGCTTGCTTGCTTGTTCTCGCCAGTACACCTTCAGCAGGGGAAGATGTGGAGCCACACGTCAGGGAGACGTGTGGCTCTCAAGAGATGCCTTGTGGCCTGGCAGGGCGGTCCAGCCTCCACCATTATCAAATATTTACTGGAGCAGAGCGCCAAGACGACTCCTGAGCCACAATTACCATTTGTTTGTGTGAGTGGGGTGTTATTATGGCATTGTGGCACGGGGGTGAAGAAGGGGGGGTGTGGCACGGGGGTGAAGAAGGGGGGTGTGGCACGGGGGTGTGTGGCTAGGGGATGTGTGGCTAGGGGGTGTGTGGCTAGGGGGTGTGTGGCTAGGGGGGTGTGGCTAGGGGGGTGTGGCTAGGGGGGTGTGGCTAGGGGGGTGTGGCTAGGGGGAGTGGCTGGCCAGGCTAAATGGGCCGCATTTAGCGCACCTTCACTAAATGCTGAATTACAACACCTTGTTGTTGTTTAAGATTCGCTACTCAGAACAATAAGTTCCAGTAGCACGGGCTATGGTGAGCCCGTAACCACCATTGCAACACCCCCCGCCCAGTCCTCTTATACACGTAACCCTCGCCTCCCCCTCCTCCTGTAGCCCGGAGTGGGGTCTAAGACCTGAGATAACTATGTAACCCTCTACGTCATCACCACTCTCAAATATATCTTAATTATACACACATACCAAAAGAATAGGGGGGGGGGGGGTAGGAGGAGAAAATATCAAAGTGTTCAGTGAGGATCCACAAGGTCGTCTCTGAGTACTCTCTATCTTCTTCTCCGAGGCTATGGGTCCCTACACTTGCACCAGTGGTAGTGGTACCTCTTAACAAAATGTATTATATTCTTGAACTCGATAAACACCTCCAAAGGAGACCTGATCAATCAGGCTATGATTTCATATGTCAGGCTGCGAGCAGCCGCGTCCAACAGTCTGGTTCACCAGATCACCAAATCAGGAGGGCTGGTCGGAGACCGGGCCGCGGGGACGTTGATCCACGGAATCATCGCAAGATAATTCTAACCTACCCCAAGTTATCGTATCATAACCGAACTAAACGAGATGGATGAAGATTCAGCCACCCAGGAGGTGGCATGGGCATGAATAGCCCGTAATCACTACAACTAGATAAAATGTGTTTTTTATATGGTGAGGACTAGGAGTGATGTCACTGTGACGTCATACTGGTCATGTCATGCAAGTTTTGGGCCCGACTGGAAGCAGGCAGCCCAGCAGGCAAGCCCAGCAGGCAAGCCCAGCAGGCAAGCCCAGCAGGCAAGCCCAGCAGGCAAGCCCAGCAGGCAAGCCCAGCAGGCAAGCCCAGCAGGCAGCCCAGCAGGCAAGCCCAGCAGGCAAGCCCAGCAGGCAAGCCCAGCAGGCAGCCCAGCAGGCAAGCCCAGCAGGCAAGCCCAGCAGGCAAGCCCAGCAGGCAAGCCCAGCAGGCAAGCCCAGCAGGCAAGCCCAGCAGGCAAGCCCAGCAGGCAAGCCCAGCAGGCAAGCCCAGCAGGCAGCCCAGCAGGCAGCCCAGCAGGCAAGCCCAGCAGGCAAGCCCAGCAGGCAAGCCCAGCAGGCAAGCCCAGCAGGCAAGCCCAGCAGGCAGCCCAGCAGACAGCTCCCTCTACTCCCTCCAAAGACCATGGGTGCCAAACAGATACCATCAGCGGTGTGTATTTGACCAGCCAACCTAAGAACCGCCGCTTGAAATCTGTGTAAGGGAATCATTCAGGATCTTATATGCCACGTACGTCAGACCAGTTCTAAAATATTGGGCATCAGCGTAGCGTCCTTATGTATTCAAACACAAGACAAAGTTGGAGAAAATTCAGAGGTATGCCACCACACTAGTCACAGAACTGAGAGGTACGACTTACGAGGGAAGGCTACAAAAAAATCAATTCATCACCAGAAAACAGATGTTAGGAGAGACATGATTACAACATTTAAAATTCTCAGGGGGTAATGATATAGCAGATATGGACAGACTACTAAACAAGGACGGTACTCACTCTAAGGTAACACAGGTGCCTAAATGACCCACAGGTGCAGGAGGCATATTCCATACACCGTTCCAAATGTCTTATGACAGAGCCCAATAGGCTCAGCCACTTGTACAGCAGTCGAGTACAGTTGCGAGGCGGGACCAAAGAGCCGAGGCTCAACTACCGCAAGCAAAATTAAGTTAATACACGCATGCAGCCACAGGAAGTCAACAGACACGGATTGTGCATATTCACCCGCAGGGATTCGAATCCCCGACCTTGTGACATTGCTGGAGACCGTCACCATCACCGTTGGACCATGACAGCCTTGAGAGGTGAGGCCGGGAGGACGTTGTCCTGATGCCGTGGCCCCGTCACGTCCAGACCGTGGCGGTGACTAGGGCCGTGGCGGCCGGCGGGCGGGTGAGAGTTTTGGCGGGACGGGCGAGCGGGATGGGCGGACACGGTGAATACCCGAGACGCACACATACCAGCACTAGGCGAGTACCTGGAGTATACCTTGAGTGGGTTCTGAGATATCGTCTCCTCCCCAAACACGGCCCGGGGCCAGGTTTGACTTGTGACAACTTGGACCAACAGACTGTTTGTTGCTTGGAGCAGACCCACGCCCACCACAACCTGCATATTCCGCCGCTTCCAATGTGTTTAGTAACACTCGCGTATCCACATTTATGGCGCTTCCTCAGATTAGTCTACACGAAGGGATACAAAGTTTACTATACGTCAGACAGGAGAGGTAAGATATCCCAAGGCACACTAACTGGTAAACTTCGGATAGATTACGTGGATATCTTTAATAACCACCACTATTGTGTGGTTATCCTCCATAGCGCCACTCTTCCTACATGGCCGAGTGCCTTGGGGGTCGAGTAGTAGGCACAAGGAGCTGCTACAGCTCTGGCTATCTTCATCTTCACTTTACTTTATGACTTTATCTTTATCTTCACTTTACAGGCACGAGTCATGTTGATCAACATTGCAGTTCTTCCAGCTACTGCAACATTTGGGGGCTCGTAAACTACACCGATTTACCGAGGATATATATATCCCAGTGGTTGTGTGTATATATATATATATATATATTAATATATATATATATATATATATATATATATATATATATATATATATATATATATATATATATATATATATATATATATATATATATATATATATATATATATATATATATATATATATATATATATATATATATATATATATATATATATATATATATATATATATATATATATATATATATATATATATATATATATATATATATGCTGAAAGGATACATTCCTTTCTCTCGGACCTATCCTAAATCCTTATCCTTGCCAAGTGCTATATATAGTCGTAATGGCTTGGTCGTTTCTCCTGATAATTACCTCACCTTACCAAGAATATCCTATGGACAAACTAAATTTATGCATCGTTTATCACCATACGAAAATTTTAAGTTTTCAAATCTTAAAATTTGATTTTTTATTTTTTTTGAAACTTGAAAATTTCAAAAATTTCAATTTTCAAATGATTTTGTCCATGTAAATACAATATGCACTGGGTTGGTGGTGGTCCAAAAACCACCACTTCTATACAGTTCTATAACCGTAAAATACAGTAGGTCTCATAGGTCAAGTTATATTGTATTCTTCTCAAGTATAAGTAAACTAAGCCGGGCATAAAGTAGCACACACAGCTCTCTGTGTGTGTTTACACAGTCACTCAAGTGTTTTAAGTAACTCTGTTTGATATGGTGTCTGAGCAAGATAAATGAGACACTGAAAAGTACCTCATAGAGCGTGGACTTGCCCCCTACCTACCTACCTTGAGGCTACCTTGAGGTGCTTCCGGGGCTTAGTGTCCCCGCGGCCCGGTCGTCGACCAGGCCTCCTGGTTGCTGGACTGATCAACCAGGCTGTTAGACGCGGCTGCTCGCAGCCTGACGTATGAGTCACAGCCTGGTTGATCAGGTATCCTTTGGAGGTGCTTATCCAGTTCTCTCTTGAACACTGTGAGGGGTTTGCCAGTTATGCCCCTTATGTGTAGTGGAAGCGTGTTGAACAGTCTCGGGCCTCTGATGTTGATAGAGTTCTCTCTCAGAGTACCTGTTGCACCTCTGCTTTTCAACGGGGGTATTCTGCACATCCTGCCATGTCTTCTGGTCTCATGTGGTGTTATTTCTGTGTGCAGGTTTGGGACCAGCCCCTCAATTATTTTCCACGTGTAAATTATTATGCATCTCTCCCGCCTGCGCTCAAGGGAGTACAGATTTAGGCTCTTTAGTCGGTCCCAGTAATTTAGATGTTTTACTGAGTGGATTCTAGCAGTAAAGGATCTCTGCACGCTCTCTAGGTCAGCAATTTCTCCAGCTTTGAAAGGGGCTGTCATTGTGCAGCAGTACTCCACTCTAGAGAGCACAAGCGTTTTGAAAAGTATCATCATCGGTATAGCATCTCTAGTGTGGAAAGTTCTTGTTATCCAACCTGTCATTTTTCTTGCAGTTGTGACGGCTACTTTATTGTGTTCTTTAAAGGTAAGGTCTTCCGACATGAGTACACCCAGGTCCTTTACATTGCCTTTTCGTTCTATGTTATGATTTGCCTGCGTTTTGTACGTGGTTTCTGTTTTTATATTTTCAATTTTTCCGTAGCGCATGAGCTGAAACTTATCCTCGTTGAATACCATATTATTTTCTGTAGCCCATAGAAAGACCTGATCTACATCTGATTGGAGGTTTGCCGTGTCCTCTATGTTGCCAACTCTCATGAAAATCCTAGTGTCATCTGCAAAGGATGATACAGTGCTATAGGTTGTGTTCTGGTCTATGTCCGATATGAGGATGAGAAAAAGTACTGGAGCAAGCACAGTACCCTGGGGGACTGAGCCCCCCCCCTTTCGCCTCCACAACATTACCAGAGTCTAATTTGTGCTTGGGGAACCACCTCCCAACATGTGGTGCGACTTGCGTGCGTGCGTGCGTGCGTGTGGGGGGGGGGGAAGACTGACATAGTCCGCTCTCAACGCAACATTGCGAGCAGCGATGGTTCACCTCGGAGTGTGCAAGGGGTTACTGCGGCTGACATGAGATCATCTTTAATAATGATACGCCCTCGTTCCTGCACTCTAAACAGCCCATACACACACACACACACACACACACACAGTGTGTCAGAGTGGTTGACAAATGGAATGCATTAGGGGGTGATGTGGTGGAGGCTGACTCCATACACAGTTTCAAATGTAGATACGACAGAGCCCGATAGGCTCAGGAATCTGTACACCTGTTGATTGACGGTTGAGAGGCGGGACCAAAGAGCCAGAGCTCAACCCCCGCAAACACAACTAGGTGAACTAGGTGAGTACACACACACACACACACACACACACACACACACACACACACACACACACACACACACACACACACACACACGAGGCCTTGATTCACGAGAGCAGGGCGAGCTGTCTTGCCTCCACCAAATCAAAATGCAGGTCTGTTGCGAGTTTTTTTTTTTTTACCCCCAGGGCCGACGAAGGTGAAGGCCGCAGGGCCGCACTCAACGCCCACTCAACCCGTTGCCCCCCCCCCCCACACACACACACACACACACACACTACACACGCGCACACTCTGACGGGATAACACACAAGATTCTCAGGGGGCCTGACAAGGTCAAGACCGAAGACATGTTGAGTATGAGGAAGAGTGATGACCCCGAGGCGCTGTGATGAGTCAACATTGATGATCTTAGGAAGAACCATCGTAGCGAGGGAGAGAGAGAGATGATGATGTCAAGAAATTGTACTAAAAGTAGACATGGCAAGGTACAAGAAGAGCAGGGATCACTGTGTTAGACTCCCAACACCTGGTTAGGAGGGGCTGCACGCACTCACGCGCACACGCACTCATTTTATTCAAATCACTGCTGCTGTCCCGCCTTGAGTACTCCTCGATACTCTTCCCCCTTCAGAGTGGGAGATTTTCCTGAAATAAAGAGGGAATACAGAGAACATATACGGTACGCACAGACACGATAAACTACCTAAATTATTGTAACCGTCTGAAAGCTCTCGAATTCTACTCTTTAGAAAGAAGACGAGAGAGATATCAAATAATATACACGTGGAAGATACTAGAGGCCCAAGTACCAAATCTACACAGTAAAATAACAACGTACTGGAGTGAACGATATGGAAGAAAATGCAGAATAGAACCAGGGAAGAGCAGAGGTGCCATAGGCACAATCAGAGAACACTGTATAAACATCAGAGGTCCGCGGTTGTTCAACGTCCTCCCAGCGAGCATAAGAAATATTGCCGGAACAACCGTGGACATCTTCAAGAGAAAACTAGATTTATTCCACCAATGAATGCCGGACCAACCGAGCTGTGATGAGTATGTGGGCCTGCGGGCCGCTCCAAGCAACAGCCTGGTGGATCAAACTCACAAGTCAAGCCTGGCCTCGGGCCGGACTTGGGGAGTAGAAGAACTCCCAGAACCCCATCAAGCAGGTATATGTGGGCCTGCGGGCCGCTCCAAGCAACAGCCTGGTGGACCAAACTCTCACAAGTCAAGCCTGGCCTCGGGCCGGACTTGGGGAGTAGAAGAACTCCCAGAACCCCATCAACCAGGTACAGGTACAAGACTGGTAAATGAATGATACTGGCCAACTGTTGTTGTTGTTATAGATTCAGCTACTCGGA